TAGATTTCTATACTGTTTGGTTTTGTTTTTATTTAACAGAAAACAGATTTGTAATTTCTAATTACCAAAAACAAAACTTACTTTGAGATTATTTCCTGCCAAATTCAGCCATTCCAAATGTACTAGTTCCTTTAACCCTTCCACATAGCCAATGCTATTATGAGGCAAATTTAATACACGGAGCTGGCTAAGTTTGGCCACACCCATCATCCTCACCAGCCGATTATTGGCCACTGACAACTGGAAAAGAAACACATCATTATTCCTAGGAACAATGTACTACTTTCACACTATGATGGGTACAAAAATGTAAAAATCCGAACAAGCAAATACTGTTTTTACTTTTCACATTTATTACCGATATCCATCATCCACAGAATAACTATTAGCTATTTGTTGTTCTAAGCAACAGCTGACTGATCAGACCTCCTGCAACTAGATACTGAAGACCCTTTTAACATACCAATAAGAGGAAACATAAGCAAAAACAGGGTTCCTGTAATGTCTTAGCCAAAATCTCAGAACAGGGCCAGGCAAATAAAATATAAACATTTCTTAAATGAATGAACTCTTCACTCCCAACACTAGGCAAAAAGTTAGCAACACAATATTTCTCCAACATAAAATGTTTTCTTTCCTTAACAATGCTTCTTTTTCTAGTCTACTCTATAAGCACAGCATTGGTGGTTCAGTGGTAGAATTCTCTAGTCTACTCTAAATTTTATTTATTTATTTATTTATTTGAGAGAGAGAGAGAGAGAGAGAGAGAGAGAGAGAGAGAGAGAGAGAGAGACAGAGGCCAGCTCAGCCCACCAGGGGGCAGGGCTGGCTGGCATGTGGTGCTGGGGGATTGAACCGGTCCCTGATGCTTTTGCTAAGCTTGTTCTAAGTAGGTGCTTTAGACCACTGAGCCATCTCTCCAGCCCTCTAGTCTACTCTAAATGTAGCATTTGTGTTCATCTTCAGGAGAGACTGTCAGGTAGAAGTTTAAGGCAACATTTGCTGCTTTCCAGGACTCAAGGGTTACTTGTGGTCAAAACACTTCATTGTTTTAATAATGAATTAATGCTATGTAACTATCCTCCAGATAGCAACACTCACCTGTATTAATTGTTTGCATTTTTCCAGATTTTCCAATTTAATAATCTGATTTTTGTCCAGAATCAAGGTGTGAATATCAGCTTCACATGGTAAGTTTGGACCTAGTTTCTGTAGTCCTTGCCCCGACCAATTGACCACTGATCCTTGAAAAGACATGATTTGTTAGGAAAACAAATGTAAAAGCTGAGCATAGAGATGGAATTATACTAATGAAATCTCTATGTTATAAACCATTAGAGCACAATCAATATCAAGATTTTAAAACTAAACCAATCTTGACTTCTAAATAAGCAGATTTAACTATTCATTTTCCTCAGAAATATCAAGTTACAACTAGACTTGTGACATTTTAGTCAAGTCTGTATGATGTAATACTTTGGAGTTGTTCACATATAAAATTTACTTCCATATTTTCTAAGTAACAATGGCATTTTAAAACTAGAAATGAATTTTTCCTAGAAATCAACTTGCTCATAACCAACCATAGGTATGTCCTAAAGTGCCCAAACCACTTTCAAAATCAAAGTATACTTCAATTAATTCATACATAAAATAGAGTAACACACGTGTTCCACTAGTGAGGATTTTTTTTTTTCTTGCAGAACCAAGGATTGAATTCAGGTCCTTGTGCTTGCCAGGCAAGCACTTATTCTACTGAGCTATCTTCCCAGCCCCCCACTAGTGAGGATTAAGAGACACTACATAACAAGGCTTCAGCTGGATCTTGGCATACAGTAGTTACAAAGTTCTTCAGTACCACATTAACAGACATTCAGATCCTGGCTCTACCACTTAACCATCATCACAGTATCCTGGGCAAGTTACTGTTCTTACTGGCTCATTTTTCTACTTTGTACAAACAGAATGATGATACCTGCATTATATACTATATGTTCTAAACAGAAAAATGAAATAATGCAAAAAAATAAAAAAGGAAAAGAAGAAATATTCAAAACGTATTTGGATCATAAAAAGTGGCTCTCTAAATGTTACCTGCTGTTAAACTGCCTGGGTGAATCAGAAACTTTGGTTAAGGAAAGCAGTTATTAGAGAGGGGCGGGACCAGAGGAACTGCCAATTTCAAATGTATACCCAGTTTAGGGGCTGCTGCGGGAAAATACTTAGATGAGATCGTCTTTGGGTGGTTTTCTGCGTTTTTTATTTTTTACATTTTATTTTTTTATTTTTAATGGCCCTTAGCGTGTGAGGAGTCGGGAGCACCTCTGAAAATCTGAAACTGTGAGAATCCAGAAAAAGTGCACTCAGCCTTCTAACACTATTTCAAAAGATGGACAGATCTCTGGTAACTATCGACCCAGTCCTCTCAAGAACTGACGGATCCCAGGTAATCAGCCAATGATGTAGGGGAAGAGGAGCCTCCACTCCTGCCCTGTCCCCCTGTCCAGACCGCAGCTATCCAGCCTCGGAGCCGTAACCAAAACAAAAGGAGCTCCCGTCCGGCGCCCTACAGAAGACGTCCCCTGCCACAGCAGTAACCACGCCCCTTGCTCAGCTATCCATGGTCAAACATAATAGCAGGACCAGGAAGAGACCCGAGGGTTGTGGTTCACCCGGGGTGGAATTTTATCACGGCCACTTGGCCACTGCAAGGAAGACTTGGGTCAACGAAGCGCAGTCTGAGGAAACACTTCGTGAGCATGCTATGAACTGAAGTGGAAAGGGGACACCTGAAGCACAAGCGACAGGATGCCGATCTCCCCCGGGTATGCCTCAAAGTAAATGTCCAAGAAGGTCACCAAAACCCACCGCCCGGACAGGCTAGAGAGCGCGGGACTTGGCGGGGGGGAGCCCCCCGCCGGGCATCGCGAAGGCTCTTGGTAGCTGAAGTCCCTAGTCCGGCTATCTCAACGTCCCTGTGGGGCTGAACAGCGAGCGGAGACTACAACTCCCAGAAGGAAGCGCGCCCCCGAGACGCCCACAGCTCCGCATCAAAAGAACTGGTCCAGAACTGCCCCTCCGAGTCCACGTTTCTTTTCTCTGCCAGGCAACTATTTAATTCGGTTCCTTGAACTAAACCGTGGCACTCAGGGGTGGGGACTGCCTTACCTTCTCCGGGAGGCAAAGCCGAGTCGGCGCGCGCCACCGCCATACTTGCCGCTTGGTAAGAACACCAGGCAACCGTCCTCCCGTGCTCTGTGGAGCTTGGAGTCTGCAGGAGGAGCCGGAAACTACAACTCCCAGGATGCACTGCAGCGGACGGCCCAATTGGCTGCCTAAAGATGTGAACCCCGCCTCGCATCTAAGAGGGGTAAGCTCGGGAACGCTTAATCAGCTCCCTTATTTGATAGGTAAACCAACTACCTTGTTAGGTGATTATTTCACGCCCTGTTCAAGTGTTTGTGAAATTTGATACTTTTATCATTGGGAAGCCCATAAGGACGTTACTTGAGGCTGGCTGGGGATATAGCTCAGTGTTACAGCGCCTGCCTTAAAACGCAAGGTCTTGAGTTCCACACCGAAGAGGAGAAAAGGGGCGGGAGGCCTTTACTTAACCAAATTTGATAGTTCATTGTTAGAAGTCTCTAGAGGCTGCCCCCTCTTTTGACAATTCTGAGTGAGTTGAAAGTTTTCAGATCTGCTATAGGAAACACAACAAACTTGTTGAGACAGTAAAAATGAATATATCTTATTTGAAATTTTTATCTAATTAAAATGATTTAAAGAATGCTGAATTAAAAATTTGCATGCCATATTTTTAAGCTTTTGTTCTTCCATATTTAACAAAGTTTGATCTGGGAAATATTTAATAAATACAAACCTAGAATCGTTTCCGGAGCATTCAAAAGAAGATTAAAAAGTTATGTCTCTAAACTCAGGAGTTAGGGGCTGGGGAGATGGCTCAGTGGAATAAGCACTTCCCTGGCAAGTGCAAGGGCCTGAGTTCAATCCTCGGTTCCAAAAATAAATAAATAAACTCAGGAATTACATTAGCCAGTTGAAGAAATGTAGGATCACACTTTTGAAGTAACTTACTGGCTAAATGTATGAATGTAACTATAAACTCAGTAAGATTTCAAGAGATGGAGAAGGAAAGGAAAACTATAATTGTCAGAGGAGACTTGATAGGGGAAGTGACCTGGAGACCCTAAAACAGGTCAGATGTGAGTGACAGGAAAGATGACAGCACCATGGCTGAGAAAGTAAACTATTCTCACAGAAAGTGAGAAACAAACCTGGCAGTACCACTGAAGGTACAAAGGATCTTCCACTTTCTCCTACAACTCACATGCTTCTCCTCTTTCTGAAATCCAATCTCCAGAGTCTCTGATGATCAGAGGAAATCCAATAACTCACTCAAGCTTCTAGATTTTCAGGCATATTATTCTGTGAGGATCCTCTGCACTTCACTCTCCCTCTTTCACTGTCTCCTTTTCTGTTTCACACTAGTTTTTTTTTTTTCACACTAGTTTAATGGGAAGACAATTTCCAATTTATGAAAAGAAAATAAGGATTATTTCCCCCAATTGCTAGAAGACCCTTTACCTACAGAACATAGTGTCTAGTGTGCAAGAATAAATCAAACCCTCCCCCTAATCCTTGTTCTCTGAATCAACCTAATATATATAACATAATATATAATATGTTAATATATATATATATATAACATTCACCAAAGAACAATGGTATTTCTTTGGGAATAGCCCGGATTTATCATGGAGCCATGCATGCCATAATAAAACATGGCCATAACCCCAGACTAAACCTCTTAACCTCTTAGTCAACCCCCATCATCTTTCCCCACATCTCAGCCCATACATATTCAGCAATAGCTAAAACAGATTTTTGTCTGGTTCACCAGTGCTGGGATCCTGAGGAAAGAGGGTGGAAGGACTCTTTTTACAGGAATAGCTAAGCATAGTCATGGCTCTAAAACAGAATGGCCATATGCTCCTGGGAAAGTTCCCATATGCCCAAATGACCCAGAAACACTTCAGAGTCACAGCATAGAATTTCTTTTACATTTCAGGTATTTTGTAGGTGTGACTGGAAAACATGGTGACTATTTAAATTAAAATTTTAGTTAGTAAAAGATACATTGACTTAATCACCCTCTCTTCAAACATGCTTAGCCCATTGTTCTCAGCACTTTCTGAAGTAGTTCTGGAAATCCTCTTTCATGTCTTTAGTTGTAATGTTGTGGCTGCCTCAGTATCCTAAACTGATTCAAAACTTTTACTTTTCATGGTCATTCCGACTTTGTAGAAGAAGCAGAAGTGGCACAGTGCCAGATCTTATGAACAAAGTGAGTGAATACACAGTAATGTTCTATGAGCCTGCTTTTTTGTTGGATGGCATCAGCAGCAGTGTTCACCATATATATATATTTTTAATCACATCTTGTAAAAACACCAAAGACTTCCAGATCTGCTTTCTGAAAGTGATTAGAACAATGCACTGTCTTTGTAGCAAGGGAATATTTTGAGTGAGATTAATGACAGCATGTCTTTTCCAAAACATTCACCATAAACATATTCACCTTAAAAAAAAAAAAATACCTCATACGTCTAAAATCAAATGGCTGGGCTGGGAGATGGCTCAGTGGAATAAGCACTTCCCTGGCAAGTGCAAGGGCCTCCGTTCGGTCCCCAGTTCTGCAATAAATAAATAAATAAATAAATAAATAAATAAAATCAAACTGCTACCCTTTAAGTTGCCTCATTCCATATATAGCTAAACCTCAAAAGTTCTGACCAAATTGAAGTATTGTACTAAAAACCTCAAACCTCTTTTTTATTTTTGCAGAACCAGGGATTGAACTCAGGCCCTTGCTCTTGCCAGGAAAGTGCTTATTCCACTGAGCCATCTCCCTGGCTCCTAAACCTCAAACCTCTTAATAGGGTAGAATTGCTGCAGCAGGCTCATGACCTACAAAAAAAAGACTCATTTCTATACACACAGGATATCTGATCACCAGCAGCTGATCTTCCTAACTCCTATCTGCCAGCTCTAATTTACCTGCCTACAGTTACAGGCATGATCTAAGTTAACAGTGCCTTTTTATTGTATGAGTCCCTTCCTGAAAACCTTCCCACTTGAGAAACCAAAAGTGTAAATAAGGACCAAAATGTATAATACATACTATGAAATAGGAAGAAAATCTTCAAACGGGGACAGTAACAAGGTGAGAGGAGGGGGAAAGGAAAGAAGGAAAATGTAAAAAAAAAAAAAAAAAAAAGGAAATGAGAAAAAAGAGAAAACATGAGAACAGTTTGTAAATGGAGGAGGGGAGGAAGGGATTACAGGAAGGCAGAGGAATGGGGACAAAGATAGGTAGAGATTCTCTACATTAATGTGATATATGTTACCAACAAAATCTGATTTAAAAAATAACTAAAGCTCACTGTGATTTAACACCCTGGGGGAAAAAAATCCTACTTGAAATTCAACTTTCCAAAGGCCAACCATGAATCAGCCTGACCACACTTCCCACCATTCACTCCCCTAGTTTTTACTTGATGTTTTTGAGGGGTTGACACAGAAAAGCTTATATTTTATAAAAGTTAAATTGCTCATATAACAAGGATAAATTGGCAAGTAGAACAGTGGCAGGAAGGAAACTGTTGTAATAGTGGGTGTAACTTTCAACAGAAACATTTCAGGGAGTTACTATATACTGGTTTAAATAACACAACGTTAAAAAACTAGGTAGAAAAAAACTGGAGCAACATTTGTGCAGGGTGCAGTTTACAAAATGCAAGTGTTTTTCTTTTTGTTGTATTTCTACCTAGGACTAAATTTATATTCGAAAGAAGTAAATATAGCCTGTTAGTTTCCTTATTAACATAAATAATTATACTGTAAATTTTTTTTTAAATTTTATTTATTTGT